GTCTCGGACGGCGGCGGCGGCGGCGGCGGCGCGCCGCGCCAGCAGGCGGCCGCAGCGGCCGCCGCCGTCGCGACGAGATCATCTTCCTCGTCATAGAGATCTCCGATGACCGCCTCCTCGGCTTCCTCCTGATCCCCCTCCCCCTCCTCCTCCCAATCCAGGTCCATATCGAACGCATGCCCCCACCCGTCGTCCGCCGCCGCCTCCGCCGCCTGCGCTGCCGCATACTGCCGGAGCTCGTCCTCCTGCGCGCGCAGCGCCGCCTGCTGCTGCAGCACGGCCGCACGCGCGGCCGCGTTGTTGCGCAGGCCGCGGGAGGGGCCGTCGACAGCGTCCGACCCATACCTGTCCAGCCAGCTGCCCGCAGCCCTCCCCGGCACGGCCCCGCAGCCTCCATGCCCGAGCAGACCCGCCGCATCCCACCCCCACGGCGCCGTCGCGGCCGCCGCCGCCGCCGCGGGCGCCTCGTCGGCGCAGGGCCCGCCGGCCATCTCCGCGATCGCAGCGGCCGCGATGCGCAGCGACTCCCCGTCTTCCTCGCTGAGAGGCTCCCCGACATGCTCGTCCTCGTCAGCGTACCCGCCGCCGCCGCCGGCCCCGCCCCGCCTGCGCCGCCCGTTGCCGCTGCCGCCGCCGGCGCCGCCCCACCCCGCGCCAGAGCCGCTGCGGCGGCTCGCGCGCTGCTGCTGGTGATGCTGCTGCTGCTGCTGCTGCTGCTGCTGCTGCTGCTGCTGCTGCTGCTGCTGCTGCTGCTGTTGGTGGCCGTACCCGCCATAGCCGGCAACCCCGTGGTGCTGCTGGTGCGCCAAACCCCGACGGACCGGCGCGGCGGCCCCCCCGCCGCCCACAAAGCCGCCGCCGTCGCCGCCCCGCCGCCGCCGCGCGCGCTCAGCTTCGCTGTCAGAGTCGCTGTAATCATCCTCTGCGTCCTCGGCCGGCTCTGCAGCGCCGGCGCCGTAGTACCCGCCGCCGCCGCCGCCGCCGCCACCCTCCTCAGACACGCGGTGGGAGCGCCCCCCCGCGCCGCCGCCGTTGGCCGCTGAGGCGCGGTGCTGCCGCTGGCCGGCCGCCTGCGCGTGGGCGGCGAGGCGCAGCTGCAGCTGCTGGCGCTCAAAGTCGTCCTCGTCCTCTTCATCGGACGCGCTCTCGACGACGGGCGGCGCGCCGGGCGCCGGGGGCGCGGCCCACCAGCCGGCGGGCGCGGCGCGGGGGCAGGCGAGCGTCAGAAAGTCGCGGACCTGCGGCGGGGAGGGGCGGATGGATCATGCATGTTGACCGATGCGCCGCCAGCCCATCACCCGGCTGCGGCCCCTCCTGCCCAAAACCGCATGCGGCGGGCCCCGGGCGCCCGCACGTGCGCCGCGTTTTCGCACAGGGGTCTCCCCACCTGCTCCAGCGCGACCACGAACTTCTTGTTCTTCTTGCCCTTTTGGTGCAGCTGCTGCTGCATGCCCTCGCCCCAGCGCACGACGTCCCGCGGGCCGACCCAGGCGATCTCAGACGTGCCGAAGAAGATGACCGGCACGTCGCTGCGGCTCTTGTGCGCCACGCTTCCAAGATGAGCGCGCGCGAAGTCCTTGGTGAGGACCTGGGCCTGCGGGGTTTCGGGCGCGCGACAACGGGCAACGTCAGCAGCAGCGCGACGCGGCAGGTGCGCGCAGCGCTGTGCCGCCCTGCAGCGCGCTCCCTGCCCCGTGCACTGCTGGCCGAGCTGCTCCCTTCAAAAGTACCCGGTTTTTAAAGTTGAGACGCGAAGTGCGGGGGGTGTTCGCGCAGCAGACCCCGCCCGGGTGCCTCGCCCTCTGCAACCCCGTGCACCGGCCATGCGGGGTAGCCTTTGACTCGAGCATACACCACACGTGCCGCCTCGGCGTCGCGTATGACCGCCGGGGCCTTGAGAACGGCCGAGTCGCTCATGTTCTGCTTTGCTGCTGCTGTGTGCTGCAACCAGCCCGCGTGCCCCGCTCCTCCGCTAGCCGTGTCGAAGCGCTGCTAACTTGTCTTTCAGCTAGGGGGCGGCATCATGGCAAGCCACTGAGGGGCCGTGAGTCCGCGGTGCCTGATCCAGCCCGCGTGCTGCTGTGTGCTGCTGTGTATCTCGTAGAGCGACTAGCGATCAACTCTGAAGTGCATCAAACAAATGATGAATGGTGTTGGGGCAGAGAGAGGAGTGCTGGCAGGTGCAAATGGCCAGTGTGGCACAAGGAGCCCGCGACAGCGACGAGATGTTGCGACGTCGATATCTCAGCTGTCGAAACCAAAGTTGTGCTCATGCAAGCTGGTGGCATGCTTTGTCACTCGTGCGCGCGCGCGGCGCCCTCGCGAGCCCGATCCTGCAGCATCAGCGTGGGAATTGCATCGCACGCCTCCCATCGCAGCCAGGTCCCATATCATACTCACCCGCAAGCACCTCATTGTTTTGCTGTCCCTGACAAGCAGAAACGCCGCAGTGGATCCCCTGCCCCGTCACCTGGACCAGGTCACCACCTCGCTGTGCCTCAAGCAAACCTGGAAAATGCACACCCACCCTAGCCGACTGTGCCCGTTGACATGATTACTCGCGCTGCAACTGAAAAATGGTACATGCAGCCGCCGTCTGCGGAGCCCAAGCGCTTACTGCGCCCGCCTTGCCGCCGGCGCCGCTCAGTCCGCCCCCGCCGCGCGAGCGCCGCCCGCGACAGCAGCGGCGGGCCGGCCGCCGCCGCCGCCCCGGCGCCTGGCCATGTTGCTTCCCGTGTACTGCGCGTACAGCGCCGGGTCCACCGCCCTGAAGTCGCCAAACGCGGCCTCGTACCCCACCCACAGCTCCCGCCAGTACCGCAGGAACGCGTACCGCCCAAAGGGCGCGTACCGCGCCGCCGCGGCCGCGGCCACGTTGGCCGCGGTCACGCCCCTCGCGCCCCAGTGGTCCCGCAGGTGGCGCACGGTCTCGCTGTCGGCGGGGACGCGGCTGTAGTCGCCAAGCAGCTGCATAACGTTTGCGGCGCCGTAGGGGCCTGCAGGATTGGAAGCGGCAAAGCGGGGTCCAGTGTCCAGCGCTGGGCCTCACAAGCCGGGTGCTGACACAAGCGGTGCATGGCTGGCCGGCCGGGCCTGCAACAGCGCGCGACCAATCAGGCAGGCAGTTTCGAGGAAGACGCGCCGCCTCAATTTAGAGGCGGCGCCATGGGAAGGGTGGGACCGGCTGTCCACTTTATGACGCGCGGCGGGGCACCTACCAATGCCTGGCAGCGCCAGCAGGCGTTTGTACATATCCTCACTGCCCGCCGCCGCAGCGCCCTCGGCCGCCCCCTCCTCCGCCGCCGCCGCCGCCGCCGCCGCCGCCGCCGCCGCCGCTGCCGCTGCGGGAGCGCGCGCCCGCCTGCGGCGCGCCCTCGACTCGCTCGCGGGCTCCTCCGCGGCCGGCGCCAGCGGGTCTCCTCCGGACCCCGCCCCCGGCCCGCTATCGCAGGCGGCAGGCTGCTGTTGAGCCGCAAGGGCCTCGAGCGCTGACAAGTCTAGGCTGCCGCTGGTGATCTGCGGGCAAGCGCGCGGAGAGCGAGCGACGGCGCTCAACAGCTGCAGGCGCCGCAGGAACCAGTGGTGCTTCAACACGCGCCTCGGCTCGCGGCTGCAGGGGGCAGACGGCTTCATTGACACCTACTCAGCACACACGCAGCGACGCGCTTCGCCCAAAACGTGGTCCAGTGCCGAGCCGTCGCAACCGGTGTGGCATCCAACCCCTACGGCATGGTCCCCCGCCTCACCTGCTCAGCCAGCTGCACAAACCACTTGGCTCTGTACCCCAGGCCGCACTCGCTCTGCAGCCGCTCCACCCCGGCAGCCATCACGGCCTCTGGCGACGGCCAGCACGGCACCCCGCCTCCGACCTCGCCGCCGCCGCCGCTGCCGCTGCTGCTGCTCCCGCCGCCGCCGCTCGCGAGGCTGCCTCCGAGGCTGCAGAGTCTCGACGCCATCGCCACTGTGCGGCCCCAGCCGCAGCAGCAGAGCAGCAGGGTCTTGCAGACGTCTTCCCAGAGGTCTGGGGACCTGGGAACGAGTCATTGTGACGATGCACTGGCAGTGGATTCGACGGCAGATGTGCAGTTGGCAGACGTGCAGGTTGCAGACGCGATTTCCGTACAGGATTCAAAGGAAAGCAGCGGCGTATCATCACAGCCGGGACCCTGGGGCCTGGCAGGGGCGAGCACGGCAGCTAGGTGGTGCTTGAGAGAGGGCGGCGCCGCAGGGTGCTGCGGCCTGCGGCTCCAGGGGCAGGCTGACCGCAGCTTGCCCGCATCCTCCCGCCGCGCCGCGCGGCCCACCTGAATAGGCGGCCGAACCCAGCGTCGGCCGCCTCTGGGTCGAGAGCCTGGTACTCTGCAACCGCCAGAGCGTCCCCGGGCGACAGCCGCAACATGCGCGTGACCTGTGAGGGCCGCGGCAGGGGCGTCCGGCGACGCGAAGCTTCGCTGCAGCTGCGTGCGAACCGGAATCGGCTGTCCGCCACTGGCAGTCCTGGCCGTCATGTCAAGCGGAGGCAGAGGGGCCGCTCAAAACGCGAAACCCTCACCCCTTTCTGCCCTCACCTGCTGCTCTATGGCTCTCCAGTCCTCAGGCGACAGCGGCGGGCCCGCCCCCTCCACGCGCACTGCCAGCAGACCACCATCGCAGCAGCCGCACGGCGCCGACCCTCGCTGCGCCGCGGCGCCGCCGGGCGCGGTTGGCGGGGGCGTCGCGGGGGTGTGCGGGCTGACCGCTTCGTGGGAAGCTTCCGCAAAGGGTTCCCCCGGCTGACATGGCGTTGCAGCAGAAGCTGAAGCGGCACCATGGTGGGTTTGCGTGAACCCAAGAGAGACGCCGGGCGTGCCACAGGCCAGTCCGGCCTCCGCCATCGCCCGCGCCGCCCCCGCCGCCGCAGCCTCTGGCGCCGCGGCCGAGCGCAGCTGCGCCCCGGCGAGCGCCGCGGCCGCGCGCCGATCCTCTCCGGCTCCTACCGCCGGCTGAAGCGGCAGCTCCAGGCGGCGCCGCTTGGCACGGGGGCCGAGCGGGTGCTCGCCAGACGCCTGCCGCACCACGCGCGCGCCGCCCTCATCCTGGCGCCCTTCCCCCTCCTGCCCCTCATGCCCTGCGCGCGCCTCCGCAACCTGCGGCTCCTCTGACCGCTGGTGGCAGCTGCCTGTTGCTCCTGCCGCGCCAGGTGTGGGGCCAGGCTCTTGAGCCAGGCAAACCCGTGCGACGCGGCCGCCCGGCAGCAGCAGCGGGCGCCTGAACGTGCCCCTGCCGCCCGACCCCTCGCGCCGCCACTCGTTAGGCGCCTGCACGGCGCGGCGTGTTGCAGTGTGTCTGGGGAGGATGCTCGTGGGACGCATGTTCGACGTTTGAGGGCAGGCAGCGGGCGACGGGTGCAGACCAGGGAGCAAGCTTGCGCCACCTCAGGCAAACGACGCTGTTTCAAAGCCGGTCAACCATCTGGGGCTCACCAGCATGAAGAAGCCATAGGAGCACACGGCTGTGCACAGCTGAAAGCCCTTGGGCACCGGCAGCAGCAGCTCATATGCCATGACAGGCGGGGCCTTGGTGCAGGCGCCGACGGACTGGTGGCCGCGCCGCCCACGATGGCGCCCCGTTCAAGCCCCGCCTCGCGCGCAGCAGAGCAATGTGTCCAATCACTTTGCTCTATTCAATGAGACTTGAGAAGACGCGGCACTCAGGGAAAGGCCAATGATCTCGAGTCGGGTTGGCGGTACTTGGCAAAGTCAGCACGGCAAACAACTACGGAAGTCTCTAACTAGTCAATGCGTCGGCTGCAGAGCGCTAAGCATATGGGCAGGTCAGGGTCCCATGATGACTCGGCCGCCGCAGGTCACTGGAGGAGGGCCTGGGGTGCCTTGCACGGCATTGCATACGATACGAGGGACTGTTGACACCGCCAGCACACTATGCATGGAAAAACTCTGCAGATATCAGGAATGTCACCCCTGGGCGCCCATTGTATGTTTGCACGGGGTCACGTGGTCGGGTGCGACAGTACGACAGCGTGTTCATCCGGGGGCCTGGGGATAGCAGGCGTATGGCACTTGAGGGCACTTGTCGATCATGACAGGGAAAAATATCCAGTTAGGATATTACACGGGGGCAAACAGGGCTGGTCTATGGTGCGCATACGCACAAGCTGTGGGCTCCCGGGTCGAGCGCGAAAGTTGATCAAGGCCCTAGAGAACCTCCTACAGTATCTTTATTTGAGGACATGTATCTTGATGTGGCGGACCGGTTGGAGCGAATGTGTTATGGCATGACGTGACGCGTGTCATGCTTGCAGCCGCTGCTGGTCAAAGTCTATGACACGCAGACTCCTGGTGCCACAGCAAGCAGCCCCGTGGCTGCTGCATAACACGCCTTCAGCCAACAGGGCGCACCTTGAAGTAGTACTGGTGTGTTGCCATCCTGTCCTGCCCGCTGCAGTGGCGTGGGCCCCTCAAAGCACGCATAGCGGGCATGCAGGATACGCTGCCCAATCACTGCTGCCTTGTCACTGCTGCATCATCACTGTTGCCCCATTGCTGCTGCCTCGGCACCGCTGCCTCATCACTGCTGGTACCTGCACCCTGCAACACACACACACACACACATACACAAACACACACACACACACATGTCAAGGCGTGCAAGCGCGCAAATACCCAGATTTCTGCTGCTCTCCTGCCATGAGCTGAGCATGTCACCAACATGGACACCATCCATGCCAGGGTATCAACACGCGCGACCAACTTGGGCATAGAGCATATCAGGGCGATTGCAATTTACAGGTTTGCAGACGGGCAGCCACATGAAGGAGGACAAGACAGCTGATACATCACAATCCTGTTTCTGCCCTGATTTGCGATATTTGTCTGGATCACTGGCATTCAAGCTCGCACCCACCCGCGCAAACCCCTGACAACCTGCACTCGGTCTCCCCCCAGCCCCATCACGCGCCTAGCCGTTGCTGCTGCTGCTGGTGCTGCAGCGTCGTCGCCGCTGCAGCCGCAGCCGCCGCAATCACCGCCATCTGCTGCTGCGCGCGAATGCGCTGCGCATCCTCGTGCGGGAGCGCCGTCCTGTCCATGCCTGGGCGCACGATCGGCATGGGGGGGCGCAGCACCGTGGGGATCATGGGCGGCGGCAGCGTGGGCGAAAAGAAGCCGCCAGGCAACTGCCCCATCGCCCACGGCGCCACCATGCCTGTGGGCGCAGGATCAAGGTTGCCGCTGCTGCTGCTGCTGCCGCGGCTGCCGCCGCTAGTGTCGCTTGCAACAGCAAATCTGCCTGTCCTGTTGGACTTTTTGAGACCCTGCTGGTCCCTGTTGGGCGGCGCCTGCTGGTTCTCACACATCTGCCATGGCTGCTTGGGCTGCCGCTGCTCCTTTCCTTGGTGCATCTGCGCCGTCACCGCCAGCTGCGCCGCCCCTTCTGCCTCGCCCCTCTGCCGCTTGGCAAGAGCAGCGCGTGTGTTGTGCTCCCTGGGCGCCGGCTGTGCACCAGCCCGCCGCTTGCCGCTGGCCACGGCGGCAGTTCCTTGCTCGCCAGAGGCAGGCTGCGCCTGGCGCTGCGAGGGAAGTGGAAGCGGCAGCGGCTGCAGTACCCTGGTGTCATGTACGCCCGCCCCCATGCTGCCGTTTGCTGCAGTTGCCACCTGCTGCTCCTGCTGCTCCTGCTGCTCCTGCTGCTCCTGCTGCTCCTGCTGCCCCGTCTGCCCCGTCTCCTGCTGCTGCTGCTGCTGCTGCTGCTGCTGCTGCTGCTGCTGCTGCTGCTGCTGCTGCTGCTGCTGCTGCTGCTGCTGCTGCTGCGCTTGCTGCTGCTGCGCTTGCTGCTGGCCTGGCTGTTGCCGCAGCTCCTTCGGCCACCCACTGCCGACGTGTATGCGCAGCTCAAACTTCCCGACCCGCTGCAACCCAAGCAGCCAGCAGCCATCCAGCCCTTGCAGCAGCGCCGCAGTTGGTGAGATGCAAGCCAAAGGCGTCCCATAGGGCGAGATCATGAGCTGCATCGTGCAGGCGTGGCGCCACCAGACACGGCCGTTCAAGACGATGCAAGTCTCAAGGGACAGCGACCTTGGGGGCCCACCGAACAGCTCGAGCACAGCGTGCGGCGGGAGCCAGATTATGTCTGGCGGCACGGGGCCGAGGCGCACAGGGTCCTGAATTTGTGGCAGTAGCGGTGGGCGGCGTGCTGCAAATGAGTTGAATGCTCCGCGGACGTGTGAATTCTGTGGTGTTGCTTGCAGCGCACTGATCAGTGGGCGGATGCACGTATGCCAAACCGGCTGCTTGCGTTTCTCACCATAGCCACGAAGGCGTCGCTGATCAGGGGTGCCGGGGGTTGGCGGCATGGGTGCGGCGGCATGGGTGGGAAGCGCCTCCGTTTCTGCTTCTCGCCGCTGCGTTTGGGTTCTTGGTGGTCACCGGCAATGCAGGCGTCGGTCGGCGCCCGTGCCAAGGCGTCGGGAGCACGTGCACTGTCAGTGGGTGCGGCGCCCGCGGCTGCACTTCGGGCCGATGCAGCTGCTGAGGCTGCATCTGCAGTTGCAGCGGCGGCGCCCGCCAAGAATGGCAGCGGCAGGGGCGTAGTCCTTCTAGAGCCCACGGATCGATGCCCTGTGCAGCCCCGCGGCAGGAGCTCCCACGGGTACCACGGCTCTCGCTTGCCGCGGTGCGCCATGATGATGCACGGGCAGGGGGCGGAGTGCCGCCCCGATCTCCTGCCACAGGACGCCAAGATCCTGTAGTAAAGCAAGCGAAACGACATGTCTCAACACTCTGCACGTGTTCAGAGAGCGAAGCTGACGCTGGCCGCGGGGAACACGACCAGGGACGGCCATTGGTTGACTGCAGCCCGCTCGCATCCCCACGGGATAGATCGAGTTCTGAGGGCAGCTTCGTGACTTCCTAAAACATTCAAGCACTCACCGAGCGCGAGGGAGACAGACGGCTACCGTGTTGCGGGGTGCCTGATCGAGGTCACAATACGTGGTGTAAATTGATGGAAATGAATTTATAACCCGAAGAGTTCAAACGGTTCGGCACAAATCAACGGAGGATCCATCAACTGCAAATCGACGGGCATGCCCGCTCACCCGCCCTCCCACATGCAGCCGTGAATAAAAACCATCACGATGTATCGCAAGGTATATGATTAGCGTGCTGTCTCGCGCCTTGTACCGATATGCTGGGTCAGAGGTCGTCTGTTGACCGCTAGGCACTTGGGCGGCGCATGCACCATCGCGCCATGTTGAGGCTACCGGTGAAATCTGCCAAGGTACGTCGCAAGCAGGCATACAGAGGACGTTGCAGACGCTGTGGCGTACGCCGGCTGCTTTGTCCGCCCCAACTTCCCCAGTGCCGCAGAGGCTGACACTCCTGTGTAGCTGTTCACAAGAAACGCACGCCTTCATTCCTCCTGCAGTGCGCTGGCACAGGCACCTACAATCCGATTGTCTGCCCAATTACATGCGTGTGGCACCAGCTGCCCGGACAGTAGGCGCATGCAGAGAATCAGCTGCCATGCAGGCAGCCCGTGTGTGGTCAATTGGTGTGGTCCAGTGGTCACGCATGGTGTCCCCAGCGTGTCCCAGGTGTTGTCTGATGATCTGATTGCTGCTGTCAACTTCCAGACTCATCAGCATGCTATCACCCCTTCAGCCCGACTGCTGCCTCATGCTGCTGGCCTCAGCGTGCCGCAGACAGCCGGGTGCTGGTTCATTGCTCATGCTGTTGACCGGCTGCAGCAACCCCATCAAAAGCTGATGTGGGGTGGCCCATGCAACAATTGCATGGTGTAAAATATCTTGTACAAGAGCAGGCCTTTCCGCTCGGATTGGCATGTCCAATTCTGCAGCCCCCTGCCGCTTTTGCTTTGTTGCCCCCATGACGACACTCCCACTGTTCTGTCTTGCCCTTGGAACGGAGCCTCACTCATATAATCATATCTCACCGATTGACTTGAGACACACAGACGGTTTCCTGCCCGTTTTGCAGTCCCGTACGTTGATTTGACACAGTTGATCTTCACAGATCACCGGCTTCTTTACTGTGACCTACGACGCTTCCAGCGTTTCTGCAACACTTCTGGGCTGGAATAAAGGCTACAGATAGTCACATGCGGCTTGCAACCAGATCAGCACAATGATCGTCGCCAAACTCACAGTGGCGGACCTCAAGACGCAGCTCAAGGCGCGTGGCCTCGAACAGACGGTAAGCTTGATTTTGCGCCGCCGGCCCAACATGCCTTCGCTCGCGAGTTTCCGCCGGTGCGCCAGAGCAGCACTGAACTCCGATCCTGCTGCCGCATATCAGGCGCAGCCGCGCCTCATGGTTGCGCGACGCTACCTCTCAGCATATCGGGCTTTCAACCCGCGCCTACAGGGTCTCAAAGCCGAGCTGATCGCACGGCTGCAGGCGGCGCTCGACGCCGAGGCAGCGGCGGGCGCGGCAGGACGGGCCGACGCCGTGAATGACGATGGCGGTGGAGACAACAACTTGAGGGAGCAGTCAAAGGCCGAGGGGGAGCATGCAGAGCCTGAGAGTAATGTAGAGGCGATGGAGCATGAGCAGCAGCAGCAGCAGCAGCAACAGCAGCAGCAGCAGGGAGATGGGGGGCAGCATGCGGAGCAGCCCGCCGCAAGCGAAGAGGGCGCACCCGCGCAGGCGGGCGGCGCCGAGGTGGGCGAGCAGCAGGCGCAGGGGCAGCAGGACGGCGGCGACCGCGTGCCTGCTGAACCAGCAACGGCGGCGGCAGCCAAGGCGACGGGGACGGCAGGCGACGGCGGCGCCGAGGCAGCCGCACAGCGCGCGCGCGAGGCCGCTGCGCGGGAGCGCGAGGTGCAGCGCCTGGCCTGGAGGGAGCGGGACCGCTCCCCACGGCCGCGCGCGCCGCCGCCGCGCGCGGAGCTGCCCAGCCCGGCGCCGGCGCCGGGGCGGCTCGCGCGTGCGGCGGAGTGGCAGCGGATGGAAGTGCCGCGGGCCTGGGTCCCGCAGCCGCTGCTGAAGGTGCGCCGCCGCTCGCGCCGCAGTGGTTGGACCACCCTTGCCCCCTTGCAGTCCCCCCTTGCGCATGGTCCCCGGCCGGACCCCGCTCGCGCCCGATCCCAAACCGTTTGCCCCACCCTGGCCCCTGCCGCCTACTCACCCTCTCTCCCAAACTCGTTCTCCTGCCCTCCAGGCCAGCCCTATTCCAGACGACGCGACGCCAGAGGAGATCAAGACTGCCCTCTCGGCCGCCGGCCTGCCCATCTCCCGCGTCGACCTCGACCCGCCCTCAGCCGACACGCCCACCGCTGCCGCGCCGGCGTCCAAGGCGGCCGCGCAGCCGCCGCCCCCGCCGCCGCGGCGCGCGGCGTGGGTGCGGCTGGTCGCGCCGGAGCTGCCTTGGAGGGGGCTCGGGCTGCCGTACCACCTGCAGAACGCGGTAGAGGAGGCGACGCTCGCGCCGCTGGCGATGCTCGCAGGTTTGGACGATGGCGAGGGCGGGGCCGAGGGCGGCGCAGAGGGCGGCGCGGACGCGGGCGCGGGCGCAGCTGGGGGTGAAGGG